TTAGTCCTTTTGTTTGCAGGCAGTCAGGATCACAAAGGCTGGGTGTTACCAGTTTCCCCAGCTCAGTAACACCAAACAGGGAGACTGCTACCTGACGGCAAAATGTTCACGTCTGTCCCCTTTCCCAGTGGAACACAATTGAAAGGAAATCACAATAATGTAACCCACAAATGACAAGATATGGCTGATGCATCCTTTAGTCTGTTACACGTTGCAGAGGAATGAAAGGTGCCTGGTGCAGTCAGCATGGGGAGAAGGAACTCCTCACACTGTCAGCATTAGGTGCTTGGCTTATTTCTTTGTGCAACAGAAACCCTGCTGCAGTTAATGGGACAGGTGATGCAAACTCCCTGATCTTTGGTCTGAGAGTTTACCTCTATGTGTAATTAGAAGCACCATCATTAAACTTAGTGCTTAAAATTGCAGGCAGGAAGCAGACACACAACATATTCCTACAGGGCTACAATGTACTTTATGGACCATGTAGGAAAGTCTGTGCTTAAACCAAATCCCAGATGTGTCTGAAAAGCAGTTTGCCCGCTTCTCCAAATTAAATTTAATCCACCTACCAACACAAGCACAGATAATAGAACTAAATGTAGTTTTTATCTAGTAGACAGGCAGTTTCTCTGCCTGGGAAATGTTTATGTAAGTGATTATAATGTCTGACAAGTCCTACTGAAAACACCAGGCTTCCAGCAAACCACGAGCTGCAGTTAGAGGCCCAATCAAACAAACCAAGCGTGAATGATAAGAAGAGCTAGAAGTAAACAAATTGGAAGGTAAAAGGTGTTTCAGACCAGGAAAAAAATGCCTTGTTTGAAGAATACAGGACCCGAGGTACTAGTAATTCCCATTGTTCTCAGCATTATATTTAATATCCTAGCAAATCCAGTAATGATACTAGACAAGAAAATGATGATGGCTTCTGAACCAGCACTGTGGTACTTACAGGCTCCATCTCTGTGCGTTCATTTCAGATTACTTGTCCAGCTTCAGGCTGTGACAGAATGAGCTAACCACAGCTGAAAGAGAATCTGCAAATTTCCTTTACATATTCTTCTCCCATACTAGAACAATGCTTCCCTGATTTATTGATCCTTTCTTGGAAGCATCAGTGTAAAACGCCTCTGAGAATCAATGATCACCTCCCTGTCTCTTCCCCAGCACAGCCTACACGCCCAGCAAAAAGCTGCATCTTGCAATAAATGTTTATGTTTGCTTCCTTAAGGACCCAAATCCCATATGATTCTTCAGGCTTGGATTGAAATTCCAGTACTAGATCGATTCCCCCGCATCCACTGGATTTCTTCAGGTTTCCACGGAGGGACAAGGGCACAGCATTAACACTCCAGGTACTAGTTTGTACATCATACCACGTTTTCATACTTAATTTTTAAATCTGTATTTATAGCTTTAATTTGTCTGTGAAGTAAGAGCCTGTAAGACCTACTAAGCTGCTAATTTATTTTGCCACGAGAACTGCTTGGCTGTATCCTGGAGGACTGAGGTTTAGGCCAGATGACCAAAGTGATCCCTATGATGTGTAGCCATTACAAGTTTAAAATAGCAGCTATATTAATTTCACCCTTACAGCCTTCCCCTTTTCCCTAGGAGCATTTTAAAAGGGGTTCTAAATCGCAATGCAAAATCAGATAACTTTTTATATGAGACACAATGTAGTTTGGTAAAATGCAGGAAATACAGCAACTAGAGCTACAGTAAATTCGGGGTTCCAGCAGAAGAAATGAACAGAAAGGTCTGCACAGCATAAGCTTTAGATGAACCTTGCTGCCCTTCTCTAAAGATACTGTACTTTCACAACAGGTGCCATTTTGGAGCAGATGAGGTTCGTAAATTTTCTAATACTGTCCTCTTAGTGGTATGTCAAATCCAGACCAAAAACTTAACATGCACTTAACATGCTCCTCTTCTGACAAACAAACAAACAAAACATAACTCAGCTAGAAATTAATTCAAATAAAGTGCTGAACAAAGTTCTAGTCGTCTACCACCATTCCCCCTAAAAGTTACTTTCTGAGACAACCTCAAAGATATTATTTTGATCAGTTGCCCATACTAGTGTTGAAGTATCAGTTATTCCTGCACTTGGTATTTCAGTTCCAGCAGCACCACGGTCACCAGTACTGTGAAGATCAGCTCAAATAAAAGACTTTTCCCTACTGTCTGGAACTCCAGGTACATAAAAGGAGGTGGTACTCTCTGCTGTGGAGTATAAATCCTGTTTAATTGTACCTGCACACTTACTCACTTCCCCAGAAGTGTCTGAGCATGCAACGCTCATAAGAATTTTAGAAGTTAACACTCCTAGGCTGATTTCTGCTATACTTCCTGAAATTATCTATCCTAATTGTTGGAAAAAAAAAAGAAATCCGAAGAAAGGGAAATGGACCTTAAGACTTGTTCATATTTTTTTGCTGTGCAAAGATCAGGGGAGTTACAATGAATGTAAAGAAAGCCCATTATATCAAGAACTGAAATCCACAGCAGTAATGCAAGCTTTAGCTGAGATGCCACAGGCATTACACAGGCGGATGTACAGGGACACAGCTTCCACTTGGGTAATGAGCTGCTGGAGTTTCTACCAGCTGAGGATCTATTCCAAGTGCTTAAAGGATATTGCTTCCACTACTAAATCCAATTACTAGGGTTATGTGATTTGCAGCTTTTTTTTTTTTTCTTCAGTAGGTTCTTCTGCCAAGCTAGGAAGTTAGGCTATGAGTTGCTAGTACCCCCAGCACTAACAACCCACCATGATTATGTTCTCATACTTGCGTATCCAATGTGTACATTTGTAATACAGAACCACTGAGAGTAAGACTCACAAGTTCCTTCCCCATGCCTACAGAAACCTATGACCAGCTTGAGAAAATGACCTTTGTTACACTGGGATTTACACTGGTGTCCTTGGAAGCAGCAGATGGTCAGGATGGGCTGCTGCCATCAGCATTTTTCCTTTAGTCTGTGAAATTATTCATATAGACACCTCAACAGCGAAGATGTTTTCTCAGCTTCAGAGCCAAAGCACAGCAGTTACAAGATGGGACAAAAGAGCAGTCAACCAGTAGTCTTTAAAATATATTAAAATGGGCTGGACTTTGTGGTTATATAACAGCAAGAAACCACTATCTCAATCTGAGGTATGAATTAAATGCTGTACCATATCAACAGGAAATATGAACACATTTCCTTTAATTACTTCCTCTTGCAAATCATTCCGCATAGGTCTCAAAGGAAATAACTGATGCACCCAAAACAAGTTTAGTTTCTTTGCTGGCCTGTTTAAAGAAAATGCAAAACTCTTGTCATTCTTTAAATGCTGCTATTTAGACAAAATTTCTTCCTCAGAGAAGTTCAAGTGCTTTACCAAGAGGCTGGTCTCTTTGTCTGCACCTGTAAAAAGGGACTATGAGACAGAGGAGGAAAAGAAAAACAAGGGCAGCTTCACAATTGTACCCAGGTCTCCTTCTGATTCCTATTATACAAACTACTAAGCCTCTGCCACAAAATAAACCCAGCAAGCACACTAACCTGCAGTAGAGCCTTCTGTTCTTTGTGTGGTATCTTATACTGTAGGTGGTATGAAGTGAAAAATACATCTAGAAATGGATACACATTCAACTGAGTGCTTTTTGACACTTCAGATACATGTTCAAACTGAGTTATGTACTGCCAATGTGTTTCCTGCATGCATAAAAAATATTTATGATCTTGGTCCTGTAGCAGGATGCTTTCCCCTCTAAAAATTTCAGCAGGCTGCAGGATTGACACTCTTGGCTTGAATTGTTGGCTCATATGCTACCTTATGTTCATTTTAATTGCGAAGTATTCTTGCCTAGAATGACATGCTTGTGTCAACACAGAACAGACTCGGTGCAAAAGTCACAATGGAATCTGAAACACCCTGTAGTGTAGAAACATTAGAATCCATGAGCTTGGTTTCAAATCCTTCCAGGGAGATGCTTTCTGAGAAGGCTGCATCTGGTTTTCTAATCCCACTGAAGTCTGAGAGTATTCAGATCAAACCTTACATTAAGCCCCTTCCCTAACAAGCACGGCCAAGACGAACGAAATTAGGTTTGCCAACATTTCCCCAGAGAGTGCAATGCTTCTCTGCTGTAAAACCCACATGCTGTTTCTTGTGAGGCGGGTAGGGGTGGTGTCAGATTTAACCTGAAATGGAAACTGAAAACAAATCTTTTAAGTTTATAATCATTTAAAATACAAACAGCTAGACAGGGCAGCCATTCAAGACAATTTCTCCTCAAATAACACAGCAGTCCAGACAAACAAGGCTGATGGCAATTAAAGGTACTAGCTGGAAACAAACAAACAAACAAACACCTTGATTTGAGATGCAAAAGTCAATTTATAAAGTGCATAGAAAATGCCTTGGAGACGTCTGGACTGATGGAATTTTGGGATCACACAGGAATAAAATTAACCTAATCGATGTTAATAAGAACTTTGTGGTTTTCATTTTAAAACAATTCTAGAGAAGGTAGCTTTGCTTCCACAGAACTCCGTTGGTTTCATCTTTATTAAGTCTGATGGGACATCTCCCACAAGCACAGTAAAAAAATATATATTAAGCCCAAAGTCAAGTGATGTTCTTTTCTCAGCCATGGGAGAAATTCTCAGTCTAGTAAATATAACTTCAGAGTGAAATAAAAAAAAAATGAGAAACTAATCAGGGCCATGAATCAGTCTCACTGGGGAACAACTGGGCAATGCAGAACCCAAATCTAAATAGCTATCAATGTTAGAAATCCAGCCCAGGGATCTGACACTTGCTGGTGAAAGCGTACCAGATGAAAACACACTTAACAAGATAAACTTTTTTTTGCTGCCCTCTGCAGGGTGGCACTGAGCATTGCAATCTAGAGCTGAGGCTTGGTAAGTGATAAATAGGCTCACAAGATAAACTGTTTTTTTCCAAACAGCCTTTACAATTTACTGGTCTATTGTTGCTTCACTAATCAGCACTCAATTTATATTTATTGATGTTGAATTTATAAGTGCAAGTCAGCAGTTTTACTCCAGTTGATGAGTCAGCTACAGTCAGGCTCAAGACTTCTATTCCCGTCTTCTAGGTTAGAAAAAGAAGCCATATCCAAACCTAAAAGCTGGGCATAGTCAATTCCCTCTAAAGAGGTATGTGCATGTTCTACCACAGGACTCCAGTTAAAGAGCAGTTCCCCCATCCCTCTGATTCAATACACAGCAGTCCACATATCAAAACCCACCAGTGTCTTAGCAGAGACAGGGCTTTCTTCATGTGTGAGGAAAGAACAGAGTGTTAGCCTGTGCCTTCTGTGTAAGCATGTATTCTGGATGCATGCTGAAGCAAGTTGCAATGCAAATACTACTCCTCAGAGCACTCCATCAGACAAGAATAAAAGAACAGGCCCTCTTGTTGCAATCCCACCAGCAGGCTTCTGCTCTTTACTCCGGTTGCTTGCTATGTACCAAGATTTAACCAGGAACTCCAGTGTACCAAAAGAAATGTCTCTTCCAAGCTCTTTTACTTCTCTGCTCTCAAGGAGAAGATTAAGGAAATACCGCTGTCTCATTCACTTCATCCTTCCAAACTAATATGGAAATTATTTTAGTCTCAGAGATTGGATGATTTAAAAAAAACAAAAAAGTCTTCCAGTGTTAACTCCTTGCTTGAGAATAAACAAGCACAAGTACTGTGCTTCAGTATCAGGCAGCGTCAAAGTCATCAAGAAATTCTTGAGAGAGAAGTGATGAATGAAACATGAATATTAGAAGATCATTGTTTCTTAAGTCATCAGCCATCAAATCCACTTATGTATTTCATTTGAGATCATTTCTTTTAATTCCAAAGCAAAGGCAAGGAGGATATGGTTCTCATTCCAGCTATTCTCTTAGAGACATTGTGGAGTTACTTTGTGTTCCCATTTCCTCATTTGTCAAAACACAAGTAACAGCAAAAATATCCACATCTATCATGAACTTTACCTCACTGCTGTGTGCAGGACACACCAAGATTACATAACCATAGATGTTTTCTTTGTCATTACACATCTGACGTAACGTGAGGATGTTATAAAGACAGCTGTGGGACTGGAAGATAATATGCCTGTATGCAAGAAGGTCTGATGTGGAAAAACCTCTGCTGGGAGAGGGTCAAACACCCAGCATTCCTATTGGATAAAGAAATACCAACTATACATCCGCATGCGTGTTATAAATGTGACATACATTTTTCAAATATCTTCATACTGAAGTACATTTAAAAAAAAAAATACAACTCATTTTGTATTTGCCACATTTGATTTTGTCAAACATGAATATTAGACATGGACTAACAAACTACAACACAGAAGTCGGTAGGAGGAAGAGTTTTCAGAACTATCTGAACCAATTTGATAACATCAAACGGAAAGGAAAGAAAAGTACAAGTTACATGGCCAGACACACAAGTATCAGCACATCAAAGCTGGCAAAGCTTGGCAACCAAGCTGAAGTTTAGAAATTAAATACTTCCTCCCAAACAATTAATTAGCAACAACCTAGATCTATATAATACAAACTGAAAGTAGTCCAGAAACACATTGACTGCGTGCAGCTAGCACCTGCACTCTGGGTCCCCAGGGGTCAGGTGTAGTCGCTTAATAAACACCTCAGAAACAGTCTAAGATAAACTTCGGAGATGGCGTGACGTTTCGGGCCTTAAGCAGAACTCTGCAAGCAAGCCAAATGGCTTGACACAACTTGGCGAAGAACACAATCCAACTCAGAAGCCGTACTTAGTTCTGATCTCATTCATCAGCATCATCAAACTGGCCAATCTCAGTCACTCTAACTGGCAGTGTAAAAGCAAGACTAGCCGCATGGTGACAACATGGGTTGTACAATGATTCCTCTTGCAAGGAGTATGAGACCAAAGGATTATTTTCCTGAAAGCTTCCGCAGTAGAGATCACCAGCATCTAAAGATGAAAGAAAAGACGTAAACCATGAAAGGTATTTAGAAAACTAGTGGTATAATGTAGCAGATTATTTTGCACTTCTACAGCATTTTCCAGTCAAGAATTTCAGTCTGATCTGCTAGCATTCATGAATTAGACCTAAAAACAAAGCAAACAGAAAGCTGAATTTGACAACATCTTCATTTTAATGAAGGTTCCTGCCACAAAGACAAAATAGTTTTCTGAAAAGCTCAATGATATACCTGAATTCAGAACATCTAACACTAGCTCTTAAAATGCATGCAGTTCTCTTCTCTCCAGGCACAAAAGGTTCATGAAGCCATTTCCCTTATTTCTCCCTCTTTCTCCACAACCACATCCCAAATTAGGATACCTCCAAGCCCATTTAAGACTGGGTCACTGGACAGAAACAGAAGGGCAGGGTTCTATAAAAGCTACCTCTGAACAGTATTTTCACTAGCCTAGAATTAAGCCTAATAAACTGTTTATTTAACCAACCTAGCACAAAAATAGAGCAAAGTCCTTTTACACAAGCAAAAGATTTACAGAGAGCAGACGCTGAAAGGCCAGTACATGCTACTGGCTAGTTTTCCAGTAGTGCTGCAGGAAAAACTTTAAAAACACTTGCATTCAATGAAGGTAAAATGCCATAAAACGATTAACCAAGCATGTTTTTGATTTGTAGTAGTCAACAACTCAGGCACTTGTATTCAGTGTTGCAAGCACTCAAGTCCCATAATCACAGCTTCTTTCAACTAAATTTGTGAGCATTTGAAGAGTATAAGCTACAGGTCAAGATGACTTAACTGAATACAGGAAAAGATGAGAACTTGTAACAGTTACAATAAAAAAATATATAACAAAAAAAATCAAAACATTCCATAAATTTGAACAGATGAGATTTAAAGGACAGCCCAGAATGAAAGAGGGAAACATACAAAAAGGAATTAGCACCCATAAAAGAATCAGTCTTTTTCTCAGGTTACCCAATATGAAAAGCTCCTGCTATATTCCCACTTTAAAATCAGAATGATTTTATAGAAGGCTGCAAAAACTTTCCCAGTTCATTCTGTTATCAACCTATGGAACTGGAATACAACAGACATTTATGGAATTAAAATAAACAGAGAATTGGTATTTCCTATATAAAGAATGAATTGTGTGTATTTAATTCCAATAAATTCATTCACATTAATGAGAAGAAAATGGAAATGGTTCTTTTCTATGTCCACAAAGACACAGCAGGTTATCGCTCACTGTTGGCTAAACATCATCCAGTTGTTTTATCCCAACATACTGCCTGGCCTGAATGTCTCAGTTCAACACATGAGTCACTGTAAAACAGATTACAAACCACAGGATTAATACGACTTTAAAGATGTGGATGAAAGTGCTTCTATCCGTTGCACCTTTGTCTGTGGGATCGATAGGAACGTTGTCAATTACATGCACAAAGACTTCAGAGAATCAAGCTTCAAAGTAAAATAAAAATATATAATAAAAAAAAAATCAAAAAAAAATGTCAAAGAAGCAAACAAAAAAAAAAAACACACACGACACAGAAAACACCTACAGCAAAAGCAACAGCAAACCATATTCAGAACAGAGACTGAGTGCTTGCACCGCTCCACACCCAAAAAGCCCCACACTCTTGATGGACATTACAGCTGGATGCTTGGAGGGAAGGAGAGCTCCTGAACTCTTCTGATTCAGAGTAACAAAGATGCATTATAATAGAGGGCTAACTTCTCCAGAGAAACTTGATACCCATACACAATTCTTACCATTTCACTCCTTAAGAATTCAATTGCTCAAGCAAGATTTACATGTGAACTTGACAACATTGCCTATAACTCCTATATTTGGCAACAAAATTATACATTACAAATCCATGAGGTAAATGTAAACATAAAATGATTCAAAAAAAAAAGAAAAAAGAACATGGAGTTATTTATGGAGTTGTTTTAATACATTTTCCTACACAGCACCTACCTCCACATACTCAAATGAAGCACAAGTAAATTTGTACTCACCATAAGGATTACTTTCAGACTCCTCCAATTCTTTATCCCAGTCCTCTACCTCATACACTGAAGCACTTTGCTGCTCAGGAGAAGTAACATTCTCAAGCATATTCGAGATTTCACAATTTAGGTCTTCTAGGTCAGGCAGTACATGATAGCCAGCAGAAGATCGACCAACATCATCTTCATACGAAGAGGTATCAGAGAATTCACTTTCTTCAGAGTCACTGTCAAGAACACGTGGAATGTTCTTCCGCAAACATTCTAAAAACAAAAGAAAGCCAACAGAGATATTTAGGAATTAAATGGGAACAATTAAATGCTTAAGATGGAATCATTTGGCCAGGTATGTGAATGTGCTTTTTAACTAATGGTGTAATTATAACAGATGCTATTTCAAGCGGTTCTTTAGGTTTCAGATGGTTGGGAATGTCAGAAACAGGCACACATCACAACACTAGCTGAAGTACAGATTTTCCATAAACTCTTGTTGAAACATTATTCTTTAAACATGGCAGAGGAGCCAGCAGACCTTCTTCACTACATTCATATCTATTAATTTTTAAAATTATGTTGAAATGCTATCGCTTTGGCTTACAAAAAATATTTTTTTGTACTATTAATTAAACACTCTCATTCATGGGAATGCACAAATATCTACATGAAAATAGTTTAGCAAAGTAATTCAACAGGCATCTCCTATGTATCACAAAAAGGTTTTAAGTATCTTTCCTCAAGCAGAGTTCCATTACTTACCATCTGCTTTGGTTTGCCCTAGTATTATAGGATTAACTTTTCTGGGCTTCCAGTTCTTAGCTTCCCTCTCATCAGGAAGTTGCTCCTCCTCAAAGGTTGTGCGCTCAAGGGAGGCAGCCATCACCTACAAAATAGTTTTAAATAATTTGGTTGCCTCTCATTGATTCCTCCAGTGAGGCTCACGCAACCGCTACTGTATTTGAGTGCTCTGGAGCCCTTGGGCACGACCTGTTTGTTCCCTTGATGAATCAGAGGTTTTAAACCAGACAGGCTTTGATTTCAGAAAGCAGATCTGCCAAGGGTGGCAGTAGCCACCACAGACCAGCTAGCCTCCTCAGTCACAGCAGTAATCGTGCTACCACTCTGAATTTGGGGAAGAGGGCGCAAAACTGACCCAAAACATAGCAGTTGGGGAACAGCAGCAGATAGCAAAAGCTGCTAACAACGCAAAGAAGACAGACAAAAGTATAGGCACAAAGACCACCAACTATAGTCCAACCACCTTGTGGGGGCCGCCGTGCTGAGGGCACAGCCGAGGACCAGCCCTTCCAGCAGCCCTGAGGAACTCCTGAAAGATGGAGGATGTGATTTGAGGGCCCCCGACGAGGAAAGCAAGGTGAGTGACCCCCACCAAGGGCATTACAAGAGACAAACTCCTCGGCGAGCAGCCCCCACACGGTGCCGTGGCGCAGGGCTCCCAGTTGCCCACACACACCCGGGGCCGCGCCGGCTGCCAGGAGCGGCCTGAGAGGGGCCGAGGCGGGCAGAGCACCGCGTCCTTGGGCAACACCACAGCAGGGGCCCCCTTTGCTTCCCCTCCCCGGCCGGGAGAAGCGTACAGGCCCGCCCGCCCCACCGGAGCCCCCCCCACAGCCGGTGAGGCGGCGGCCGGACGCGCAGCCGCAGCCCTGACGAGACGGCGGCGCCGCCCCAGCGCCTTCCTGCCCTGCCCGTCCCCTCAGCGCGCCGTGAGGTGCGCGGTGCCCCGCGAGGGGCAGTCGGGCTTCAACCGTGCCTCGGGCCCCGCTGCTCGAACCGGCGGCTGCCACGGGAAGGGGAGAGGGAAAGAAATCTGGCGGTGAGGCGGCGCCGGGACAGCCAAGAGCACCAGCGAGCGGCAGGGCATGGCCGCGGCTTCTTCTCCCTCCTCAGCGCTGAGCGCCCACCTGCCTCACAGCGTTATACGCCTCCTTTACACACAGAGACCAGTGCTGGCCGTAGTTTTTTGAGTACATGACACAAAACTTATTTCTCTGTGACTAGAAAAGGAACTATTGCTGCACATTCCTTTACTTTCCCTAGAACTCCTCTACAGGATGAGCTAATGGCCCAGTAATAGCATTTATGTTGATTTAACAAGTGTGATACCAGAAAACGTAGTTCTGCAAACAGCCACGGACAGCAGTGTCTCAAAAACTGTTAGCCAGTTTTTCAGGGTTTGAGGACAGAAGGTTGAAGTGTAGATCAGAACTTGTCACATCAGGAACATTTTTGGCAGATTCTCAGCTCACCTCCACATTTCATAGTCACTCTCAGAATTACAATGTAGGATGCAAACACTAATTCAAGGTGTTGACAGAAGTTGTTTGGTGTTTGAAAAGAAGTTTACAGATGACTTCAAGGTTAAGAAACAATAAATAAATACCATCATTTTACAGATTGATTCTCCAGTGTTCCATTTTTGATACAGTCCAACTTTGATACATCTCACAGATGTAAGGTGTTTTTTTTCATGGTGGTGTGGGTTTTTTTTGGCATTTATGTGTTGTAATATTAGCTTTCCAGAGTGTAAAAGCTGATGTACTAAGATTATTCCATCTCAATAACTGGGCAGAAAGAAATCTCTTAGAATTCTCAAAGAACGTGCTCACAGGCTCCTCTGCCTTCTCCAAATGTGCACTTGAACCTGTCACTGAGATGAAAGGCTAATAACCGTTGCAATGGGGCAGATGATTTTTTTCACATATGCAAGTAAAAAAAAAAAAAAGTACACTTTAATATGATCCAGAAACATATTTACCTTTGTATAAAAGTTTAAAAAGAATCCACAATGTCACATTGTAACTATTTTTAGTTTTTCATAAATGTCCAGTTTGCAATAAAGTATATTTGGAAATGAAGTCTTCCACCTGATCTCCCTGCAACATCTTCACAGCTCGCCAGTGAATACTCCCACAGTTTTCTGGTTTGCCTTGAGGATGGCTTAGTTCCTCTTTGATATAATCCAGCCAGAGATCTTAAAACGAAAAAAAAAAGTTCTGGTTAGATTTTGATTTGATATTATTTAACAAACATACTAAACCTAACCAAGAAATGCTCTTTTTATAAGTGTTCTTGATCTTAATGCAACGAGGTTTGTCAAACCTCTTCCCCTCAGTCCCTTGCAGTCCAAAAGTCTGGGTTCTGCTCCCAGGTGGAACAGAAATAAAACCCTTTAGCAGCAGCTTCCTATAGCATCAGGGAAATAGACCTATTTAACTTCTTAAAAGGCATACTGCAAAAATCCTGATTATAAAAACACAGCTCCATACTTTTCACAAATGTAAATTAAAGGTGATGTGCATCTCTTATTCCAAGCCAATGTTCAAAACTATTATTTGCTAGTAATTCCGCTGAAGCTAGACTACCATGAACAAAGGCCCCGGACTGCAAGTGTAATGTCACTGCAGTGTCGCACACTTAAGGGAACAGAAGAATTAAGCTCCACTCTGCATGACAGTAATCACAAGGACAGAACAAACAACTATTTTTGTTCAAACTGACAGAAATAAAGGAGGCAGCACTGAACTGAAAAGACAAAAATCCCTTACCAGACTCCGTTGAACCAAACTCTCTCAAGGCACGTTCGTAGTATTCTCTCAGATGAAGCATTTTGCAGGATTCCTAACAAAGGGAGATATTAAAAGACCGTTTATTTTGTACAGAAGTGAATCTGCAGCTTGATTAGATTCTTACAAAGTAAAAGAGCCATGGTAATTATACATACCCACACATTGCCAAAGATTAGTTACCATGGAATTTGGTTTTGCATTATATGCTATGAATCAACTTTGAAAGACAAATATGAAGCGATTACAAACTAATAACACTACTCATAAGCCCTTAATTTTATATCAAAGTTGGAAGTGTATTTTACAAATATAAGGTGCTAGTTGGATCTTCAGCAACTTACTTGCTCCTTTTCAATTTGAATCATCTTCCTGAAGAAGTCAAGTGAAAGTGGACGATTTTCATGTAGGCTAAAGCAAAAAAAAGAAATAACTTTAAACCTTATGCCTTTTACAATTTGCCCTAGAATAATCAGATTTAAAGTTTTTGTTACCTGGTAAAGACTCTTTTTACTTTCTTATAACCACCATTCCTATAAGCCCAGTCGAGATATTTTTCTTTCATAGTCACAGATTCAGCAGGAGCTGTGGCATTCAAGGATCTCTGCAAGTTAAAGAGAACCAACTACAATTAAAAGGCAACAAGGAAGAAGAAACTGAACAGTACCTTCTCTCTAATTAGATATCTGACATACTGCAGATCTCATGAAACAAAGTACTGACAAAGGCACCCTGAATGATGTCTGAAAAACAGTATTATGTAAAACAACCAATATTTTTTGAACTAGAATATTAGTTGTAATCTAAAGTACATTTCATTTTCCATAATCCATGCAGCTGGCATTTGGCATTCCTCTATCATCCTTCATGCAGAGGGTTTTACAATGCTCTGCAAACAACCGAATTTAAGCTTTCACTGGAAATAAGTGTTATATGCTGTAAATAGAAAAGAAAAAAAAATGCCAGGCAAATAACACATGTTTTGCCCTCAGCGATTTAGAAAATTTACAGTGGGATTCAAATCCCTGTTTTGTTCTCAAGTCCTCTGCAACAAAGCTGACATTTTCACACAGATCGGAAAATGCTCTTTTTTGTGTTCAGACAGACATCTGAAAATACTGCAAGAATTCCAGATCATGAAGTAAGAGCCTATCAATAGTTGTGCTTACAAACATCTAGATGTCTTTGAAGCATGGGGATGACATATGTGCTTATGAGCTCACATTCAGCTGACTCTTGGTAACAGTTTTACTTGAAATGTTTTGATATCAACAAATCCACAAAGGAACTCAGTATAAGGCACTTGTTAAATGCTCCATCCACACACAGTTCCTGTTTACTTACATATGGTCATAAAAAGAAGATTTCTATTAGCTTAGTACCTGGTAGAGAGCTTCTGTGTCTTGCTTGCTATTTGTGCCTTCACTCCATTCCACCCAGAGGGTCCATAATGGCAAAGTGCCCTACAAGGTAAGCAGAGAAATCAATTGATTAGAATACAGTAACTCAGATTGATTTACAGAAACAGATAGCAACACATCTACCAGGTTTTACATCACAACTGCTGTAAAAACTCTCTAGGGAACCTGCTTTGGCAAGAGGGTTGGATGTGACAATCTGTCCACACCCTACAATTTTGTGATTCTGCAAACTGTCCTTTAGATACAGCTTTTAGAAAGACAACTTTGAACTGCGCACTGAAATCACTTCTTGTCTCCTCCCTAACTTACAGGACAAATACTGCTTAGATGGACAGCTGCTAGACAGGTTGCTGGGGATGGGAGACGAATTCTTATGTATCACAAAGCACCGGAGTACAAAGGTAACTTCTGAAAATAGGAAAGAAAAGGAACATATCACCTGCTTGCTTCCTCTCATCTTTCCACATGGCCATAGTTTGAAATGTAACAGCAAATAAGCAGGTAGCTAATTTAAGGCTTGTCACCTCCAAACAAACAATGCATCAGGACAGTGATGAAAGGAAACACTTTTCAAGACACAAATACCAGCATGCAAAAAAAAAAAAAAAGCACGCAAAATATCACCTCTGAGCATTCAAACTGTACAACTTTGAATTTGAAGTTAACCTGCAATTTCTTGATGTTCCGAATGCAATGTGCATGTGAAATGTTAAGCTCTTATTTTTGACTTTAAAAGCTGTTAGGGGTTGTGTATGCCTTGTGAAGGAAAAAAATGTTTCAAGTGTTAGAGGTTTCCTGCTCAAGACTTAATGCATGCAAGTCCATAAAAGCAGCACAGACCTTAGATTTCAAGTGCTTAAAGGCTTCTTCAAAACACTGGGTCACATTGTCATTCTTCAGTTGGATCAACACCTGCAGCCTCATCTGCCACATTTCCGCTGACAGGCTGAAACGCTTAGTTGCAGCTTCTGCCACCTCTGTAGCCTTCTCAGAAAGGTTGGACTCCAGTAATAGTTGAAGCTAAAAAAAATTAAAAAATAAATAAATAGCAGATGTAGCTAATCACACGAGATTAGTAGTATTTTGTTAAAAGCAAGGCCTTGCACACAATATTGCCCACTTTACTACCTAAGCAAAGTGGCAGTTTTAGGCATGCATCAATGCAGGACAGTGTCCCAGTCTATTCTTCTGTATTAACTCTTACCCACTGCTTATAGAGAGATTCTGGCAGCAAACTGGACTCATGCGCTTTGCTGAACACACTTAGTGTCCTCTCCAGTCTCTAGACAGAGAACAAAAAGTAAAGAAAATAAGCATTATTCCTTCATATACAAGATCCCAGCATTACCAGAAGCCCAGTGGATTTGTGTATCAAAACATCACTGAAATTCAATAAAAGTTATAAGTCTAATGCTTTATGTGCCCACATACATTACAAGATAAAGGTGGAATTTAAGCATTTGAATTATACCTCCTCTTTAAGGAGCAAAAGAATAATGAAGCAATGTTCTTTTACTGTATTAAAAGGGAACTGAACCACAAAGGATGATTACAAAAGGATGATTTGCACTCTTAGCAACTTCCATCCAAGGAGCTTGCTGTACTTTACTGACAAGCCTGGTTTATGCCTCATGAATTCATGTTCAGGCAGGCCACATGTAAGCCCAACAGTAAAATTGACTCCGTCAGATGGAGACTAAGTTATTTTTAATGACAGCCACTTGTCTCTATTTCTGATAAAAAAAAATCAAATACACTTACTCATTGTCTGAAAGATTACATAGGTCAGTAAAAATAGTCTTGTTTTGTTACTATAATTTCCTAATGACCTTTTTACCTTTTGCTTTAATTCTTCACTGTTGGTTTTCCTGTTACATCTCTCTAAGCAAAAAGTGATGTAGCATTTCCACATGTCCTCTGTAGAATGAAAGGCATAGTATCACGCTTCATTGAATCACAACAGTAAACACAAATATTTGTCTTTAAGGTAAAGAATAGAGAGAATCCAAGCACTAAATGCTAATGCCATTTTTGTTTTAATATTACACTGTACAAGAAGCCCTGCATTTAAAACATTAAGTTTCAAAATGACTTCCCAGTATAAGCTGCAGTCACTAATTCTTTCTAAACATCATCAAGCTCTTAGCTCAGCTGAGGCTTCCACAAATGCTGTCCCAATTAATGTTCAGTGCACCCTTTGCTTGTAGTTTTCAATGGGCCTGCAGGAGTGACAACACTCTCAGGCGGTTGAGAAAATCCTTTGTCTGTCTGACCCCAAAGGCTAAATTAGCAGCAAGTTTGAGTCTACTCCATGCCAGTATCCTGCTAGATTTTTTTGAGAATAAGGACAATGACAGATGATGAAGTTGGATATCCTTTCCACTGGCAACTCAAAAGCATTGCTTACTCACACCTAACCAACAACAAACTTCATTTTATCTACAGGTTTCCTTTATTCAGGAAACTTTATTTACCATTCCCAAACCTCTGTTCATCTGTCTAGATGT